GAGAGAGGAGTCGGAGAAAACTCCGTGTCTGGCCTGGGAAGCGCTGGACGGTGGTGCCATTCCCAGAGGTGGGGAGGTTGGGAGGGTGATGAGCTTAATTTCTGAAATCTTGCTTTATTTTTCCCCACCTGACTTTCTGGTCAGTCAGAACTGACTCTGGGGACAGATACCTATTTACCTCTCTAGCTTCAAAGGATTCATCTGAATTAATAAGACGGGTTTAGTCTTGTTCCTAAAAAGTTTCTGGCATGCCTGAGGGGTTCCTTACCAGCCCTTTCCTGAAACACAAGAGAATGGATTGTCGATTATCTTCTGCTTCCAGTTTCTTATAACTAAAATACTTCTTCCATTTTTTAGTATCTACACATTAAATAAGAAGAGCACATAATAATAGTTAAGGATTTTTTTTTTAGCGATTTGCTTTTTATTTAACCTAAGAGTCCTTAAAATAAGTTTGTACTTCTGCTTCAAGAGGTTTTCTTTGTAGATAATATCTAACTGTGGTTGGAAAATAATTGGAAGAATGTTTGGGGGCTTACTGATTTTCCCTCCTAAATATCTGAAATGTGGAATTATGGAAGGGAGAGATCTCTCACAACCTACTCGTATCTCTGCCTCACATTGTTTCCTGGAGAACCATGTCTGTCACTGGATCCATCTTATTTAAGGTCACACAGGGATTCATGGTCTTACATGTGTAGTAACTTTGCTGCGGGTCATGTAAAACAGGCTGGAACTCAACAGAAGTAAAACTTGAGGAGCCAGATGTTGAAGTAGATTTCTATATGCTTCCAAAAACACCTGACTTCAGATACTAGTCAAAACTCATAATGACCACTTCAGGTAGATAAGGATGTGTCTAAATACGCTGTTATCTAAAGAGATATTGCATCTTTATCCATTGGGGAAGGAGCAAAGACGATGATGATGGTTCTTAAAGTTTCTCTCTTAGCAGGCTGTCTTCCCTGAAGACACATTCTAAATGCAGACTTCCTAAATCACCATCCTTTTCTATAGAGAGAGAGCAGAAACCAAAAGTAGGCTTAATGTAAGCCAAGTAGAATTCTGTGGATTGTAAACTGTGTGAGAGCAGAGACCATAACCTCTACATCTAGTTCAATGTCTTATATAGATGCTCAATAAATATTGGTTCAGTGTATTTCAGTGACTGAGTAAATGAAAGGTTCTAGGTTGTCTGGTAGTAGGAAAAAAATCTCCATTGATACAGAAAAGTGCACAAATCATAAATTTGGTGAATTTTCACCAGGTGAACACACTCGTAAACCTAGTACCCAGATGAAGAAATAGAACAGGACTGTCCCTCAGATGGTGTGCCAGTCATAGTCACTAGTTCTCCAGGGGTAACTACTCTCTGACTTCCAATGCCATGCTTCTGTTGTGCCCATTTTTGAACTTTAGATAAATATGTAGTCTCCCAGGTCTTTCGTTCCTCTTTATATGAGTGAGATTTAACATGGTGTTTGGAGCAGTAATAGTTCATTTATCCTCATTGCACCAAGTCCATCGTATGATTATACCGCAGTTTATCTACTCTCTTGTTGATGGTTTCTTGGGTTGGGTCCAGTTTGGGGCCCTTACAGGTAGTGCTGCTGTGAATATTTTTGTACCTGTCTTTGGTAAGCGAACATAGGCGTTTCTCTTAGGTGCATACTTAGGGGGTAGAATTACAGCATCATAGCATATGTGAATGTTCCGCTTTGGTAATACTACCAAACAGTTGTCCACATTACACTCCCACTAGCTGAGCTCTTGGTGCGGCTCTCCTCACTTGATGCTCCGTGTCTTTTTCATTTTAGGTACTCCGGTAGGTGAGTGGTGGTATCATATTGGAGTTTTAATTTACATTTTCCTGATGACTGATGAAGCTGGGCATTTGTTCACGCTTATTTGGATATCCTCTTTTGTGACGTGCCTATTCTAGTGTTTTGCTCATTTTTCTATTGAATTGTCTGCTTTTCTTACTGAATTCCTCATATAGTCTGGATACAGGTCCTTTGTCTGATAATATGTAATGAAAAAGTCTTCTGCATGGGGGACTGTCATTTCACTCTCTTGATGGTGTCTTTTGATGAAAAGACATTCTTAATTTTACTCAATCCAGTTTGTGAATTTTGTCCTTTATGGGTAGCAGCCTCTGTGCCCTGTAGTGGAAAGGTTGCCCACCACAACTTCATGGAGTTTTAGTTTTCCACCGGTGTTGCAATTAGAATATTAAGGCAGAAAGGATCCTTCATTCCAGTCTGTTGGTTCTTTACCTTCTGCAACTCCTGGCTCCCTGTGAAAACCCAACGAAAACTGTACCATCGGCAACAAAAGTGCGCACATGCACGCACACAGCATACTTTTCTGGTTTCCTCCTAATTTTCCTGCAGACCGATGTTGAAACCTGCCCACAGCCCCCTGTCAGGGAACCCCAAACTAGTCCAGCCAGTCTTTTTACAGATGAGGAAGTCGAGGCCCAGAGAGGGTGCGTCATACTGTAAGTTTGTGGTCTAGTTGGGACTAGAATTCAGGTCTCTTGATTTCTATTTGAGTGCCCTTTCTTTCTTTCTTTCTTTTTTTAAGATTTTTACTTTTTTTTTTTTTTTTTTTTTAAGATCCTATTTACTTATTTGACAGAGAGAGACAGCGAGAGAAGGAACACAAGCAGCGGGAGTGGGAGAGGGAGAAGCAGGCCCCCCACCGAGCAGGGAGTCCGATGCGGGGCTTGATCCCAGGACCCTGGGATCACGACCCGAGCCGAAGGCAGACGCCCAGCGACTGAGCCACCCAGGCGCCCCAAGATTTTTACTTATTTGACAGAGAGATAGCACAAGTAGGCAGAGCGGCAGTCAGAGGGAGAGGGAGAAGCAGGCTCTCTGCTGAGCAGGGAGCCCAGTGCAGGGCTCGATCCCAGGACCCTGGGATCATGACCTGAGCTGAAGGCAGCCGCTTAACTGACTGAGCCACCCAGGCACCCCTCCAGTGCTCTTTCTAACACAATTACCTGCTGCAGTCTTTCTGAGAATCTCCGGCAGAGCCATTGAAGGGAGAGACTGTTTTTAATGAAGGGAGGTTCCTTTTTTTTTTTTAAAGATTTATTTGAGAGCGAGAGTGAAAGAGAAAGAGAGAGAGCACAAGCCAGGGGAGAGGCAGAGGCAGAGGGAGAGGGAGAAGCAGACTCCCTGCTGAGCAGGGAGCCCGATGTGGGGCTCGATCCCAGAACCCTGAGATCATGACCTGAGTCAAAGGCAGACACTTAACCAACTGAGCCACTCAGGCGCCCAAATGAAGGGAGGTTTCTATGCAGTAGCAGCAAAATATGGCTACATGGTGACACTCATGTACTTTAGATATTTACCTTAAATGTTAAGGTCCAGCATGTCTGTATGTCAGGTTTGTGAAGTTGAGCTGGGACTTAGCATGGCCAGGGCATCTTCCTCTAGCTGTGACTCAGTGCTCTGGGGTTGCTGTGTTGAATCCTACTGTATGCACCTACCTGTGTTCTGCTTAGTGTCTCGATTGGTTCTGGCTGGAATATTAAAAAGCACCTTATGTAAGAAGTTTCCAGTCTCAATGCTCAAGTGGGTGAGGTTCACCAAAGTGGTTGCTCCAGGGAGAAAATTAAAAGAGGTGGAGGCAGGGAAAGGAGCTCTGAGTTTCTTGACTAGGCTAAGTCCGTTTGCAAACAGTAGGCAAGCTGGGCCAAAGTTTCTAGAAGCATTCGCTAACAATTTTCCTGGTATGCAGACTTTTTACCTACCATTGCCTGCAGTAGTTTCTTCAAAGATTCTAAGTGGACTGGGCAGCTTGCAGGTAACAGGCCAGGGTATTTTCAAGAGACCACTCAGACCCCTCTACTAGGAGTCTCCAGATTTAATGCTGTTACGTCATCCACAGTGCCTACCAGTGCTTAAAGTGCACTGCTGGCAGTGTGCATTTCAGACTTGCAGCACAGACCACAGTTCCTATCTCATGGCGGAAAGACCGTTCGGATCTTTGGGCCACGCCCTGAAACATGGACTAAATGATCTCATCCTCAGCACAAAGGAAGTTGAGCCCATAATACCATCTGCAAATAGTATCCTATTAAACCGGACAAATAGCATCCCATTATTCTACCCCATTTTACTTCTGTCCCATTAGCCCCCAGAGAGCCTCTTCTCCAGTTTCATCAGGTACTTGTGATTAAGTAGGTGGAGGGTGCTAGAAGGTCAAATATCTCAATGAGGTGCATCTGTTCTGTCATTTCAAAAGCATTTACTGAGTACCTGCTATGTGCTAGGGACTGTACTAGGTGATGGGGATCAGGGATGAATGGGACAAGCTCCTTGTCCTTGAGGAGCTCCCAGTCTAGGCAGAGGGACAGGTCAGTAAGCTGACAAGCACCACACAGTGTGGTAAGTGCTGTAAGAGAAGTCAGCACAGGTGCTGTGGGACCAGAAGGAGCTGCGTCTGAGTTGGCCTGGTGTGTCCAGGAAGGCCCTTCTATAGAAGGGATCTGAAAGGGGATGAAGAGGGTACCTGCAGAAAGTGATGGAACCGACATTCGTTCTGGGCAGGCCGTGGCATACGCAGTGACACAGCAGCAGGGAGCTGGGGATGGTCGGGATGCCGGCACAGAAAAGGAGCTGAGGAGACCCAGTGACATTACAGAGTTTTGTCTGTTTTCCTTTCTCCTCTTTAAAAGAGCTACTCAAGTCGGAGGTTGATGATAGACTCGTAACTCGAAAGATTCACTTATCCCATTAACTCGGGTACCTTTGGCATCCGTGTCACTGTTGGAGTAGATGCCTAAATCAGAGTCTCTTCCCCTTTTGTTGATCATGGTGACCTTTAGTCATCTTTGGCTCCCAGGGTCTCCTGGGACCCCACCCCAGTCAGCCCATTACTGCCCCACTCCAAAGACAGGTCTCTGGTCAGGATATCATGGAAGCTCTAGCTGAGTATGTAGTCAACAAGCACCAATTTTCTCACCATCTCTTTTTTTTGTCTTTTAGGTGTGAAGAAATCAGTGGTTTATAGTTCACTAAAGCTACACAAAATGTGGAAAGGATGGCTAAGGAAAACATCCTGATTTGGCTTGCTTTTATACGTGTTATGTATAGATTAATAAAGTGATCCTTTTTTGACAGAACAGTATTTGTTACCTTGACCCACTGCTTGAATTTGAAGATACCTAGGTTTGTATAATATTTGATTTTGAAATGTATGTGTTAGACATTTATCTGGGGGACCCAAATACCTTTGAGGATGAGCAAATAAGTAGTTTCACAGGCATAGGTGGGAATCTGTGAAAGTACTTTTAGCTAGTGAAGGATTGAATAGAACAGGGAAAATGACCTAATGTTCATTCAAGGCCTACACACCAGGTGTGATACATGAACTGCTTCTTTTAATCCTTACGCTACTTCTACAACATAGATATGAGCCCCACTTTTTTACAACCAAGGAAACTGAGGGTAAAGAAGTTAACTACCAGGCCCACTGGCCCACAGCACCAAAACTAGTACATGGCTAAGGTGGGACTTGAATTCAAGTCTGTCCCACTCAAAAGACCAGTATCACATCCCACTTCAGGCTTTGCCTGCAAGATGTGAATAATTCTTTCCTGGTTTATCCAGATGATTTCTATGATTATTTTCAGTTATCACTGGCCATGGAGCTAAAGACACCTGGTATGATTTCTTCTACACCATTTCTTCTGTTCTGTGTCTTCTCAGATCAAGCGGTCAGTAGAAAATTCCTTCCTAGAATGAGCTACTTCTGGAGGGATGATGCATGATACATCAGAATTTATGGCAGACTTAGAGACCATTTATACTCCTTCACTTTATAGGTAGGATAAGTAAGGCCCAGAGAGGTGGTGACTTCCAAGGTCACATATATTTCTCGACAGCCTAGACTAAAACTTGCATCTCTCCATCCTACTTAATCCCCCTTTCGCTTCAGCCTGCTGTTCTACCCATCCAGCCTGTAGGTAAATTATAACAGGGCCTTGGATTTCAGTAGCTTTTACAAGATCAGGAAGAACAAAATCCCTCGGCTCAGTATTATTTTCAAAAATCACAGGACACCTCATCTAAATGTAACTCCTAGCTCTAACTTGAGTTTTACCATCCTCAATCCCTTCTTGGATAACTAACCTACTCTAACAATTGGGCAGCAGATACAGGAAAGTCTTTCCCTGGAATTTCAGGTTACAGTGGGTTATGTAGAAATAGATCAGAGGTTATGGCAAGTGGAAAAGCCAGGAAAAGACTAAAGGCTCTCAGGGAGGAGAATTTATTTTATTTTTTTAAAAGATTTTATTTACTTATTTGACAGAGAGAGACACAACAAGAGAGGGAACACTAGCAGGGGGAGTGGGAGAGGGAGAAGTAGGCTCTCTGCTGAGCAAGGAACCCAATGCGGGCCTCTATCCCAGGACCCTGGGATCATGATCTGAGCTGAAGGCCAATGCTTAATGACTGAGCCACCCAGGTGCCCCAGGGAGGAGAATTTAATTCAACTGATTAATTCAATATTGCCAAGCAATACTGGGTTGGAGGGAGATGGGATTGGCCAAGATGACCATACTTGTGATCCTGCCCTCAGTAAGCTTGCAGTACATCAAGTGGGGAGGACAGAATTTATCCTCATAATAGAAGATGAGAAGTGATCGTTGCATAAAGACAAGTTCATTCATTCATTCAGTCATTTAACAAATATTTAATAAATACTGCATATCAGGAACTGAAGCCTAATGAATAAGACATTGTCCCAAATCTAAGGATCTTACAATGCAGTAAAGTAGTCAGGTAAGTAAATTGGGAATTATATTTATCTGATAAATGCTTAATTATAGGGGTAACTATAGGGTGCTGTGGAGATACCTAAAAGTAATGGCAAATACTGGTTGAGCCCTTACAGTGTCAGGCAGTATTCTAAGCACTTTCTATAGATTTATTCATTTAATCCTCACCACAGCCTTATGTAATAGGGACTCTTATTATTCCCTAATTTATGCTTGGGGAAACACAGGCACAGAGGAGTAAGGCCTTGCATACCATTTCAAAGTTGGTAGATTGACAGCCAGGATTCAAAACTGGGCCATCAGTTTGCAGAGCCCTCCCTCTTAACCTCTTAGCTAAACTATCTTTCAATCACTTTGTCTTTGCCTGGTTTGAAGAGAAGGAGCAAGCGATGTCCAGCCCACTACTTTTTTTTTTTTTTTTTTAAGATTTTATTTATTTACAGCCCACTACTTTAAGAACAAGTAGGAGTTACCCCAAGGAGAAGAAGAAGTATCCCAGGCCAGGGAAGTGCTTGTTCAAAAGCCCTGAATGAAGAGATCACAGTATGTTTAGTAAACTAAATCTAGCTCAAGACGAATAAAATGCCAGGCAGATGCTATAGAGGCTGGAGAAATGACAGAGGCCAGATCATAAAAGGTCTTACTGAAGTCTGTCAGTGTATTAATCATTATCCCCAGAACAGTGGAGAGCCAATGAGGGATTTGGGCTGGAGAGTAGCAAAACTGGATTTGCATTTTATAAAAATCATTATGGTTGCAACATGAAGAATGGATTAAAAGAGGCAAGACTATGGGGTGCCTGGGTGGCTCAGTCAATTAAGCATCTCTTGATTTTGGCTCAGGTCATGATCTCAGGGTTGTGGGATTGAGCCTAGCGTCAGGCTCCATGCTCAGTGGGGAGTCTGTTAGAGATTCTCTCTCTCCCTCTCCCTCTGCCCCTCCCCCTGCTCACGCTCTAAATAAATAAATAAAATCTTAAGAAAAAAAAAGGTGCCGAGGTTCTGGATGGGGCAACTGGGAGAATGGTGTGCTATTTCCCTTGTTTGGGAACCCTTACCTCCCACCATATACAAGTTGGGGATTCAGGAGGAGGGACAGATTTCGGGTGGCATGAAGACAGTGATAAATTTGGGTCTGGACATGCTGAATTTGGGATGTCTGTGGAAGATGTTCAGTAGACATCAGCTACACAGGTCAGAAGCTGGAAGTGTACTAAGAGTTGTCAGATAGTAGATGGTGGGAGTGGATGAGATTTCCCCAGGAAGTCTGTAGAGTATAAAGACGAGAGCCAAACTCACAACACTGGGAAACGCCAACATGAAAGGAGCAGGCAGAGAAAACTAAGGGGTAAGAAGAGGTCAGAAGAAAACCAGGAGAGCAAGGTGTCAGGTCATACAGGAGATGGCGAGGAAGCATTAAATTGTATTACTGTTCCCCAGAAAAATCTCTTTTCCCTCCCTGCAGTTGCCCACCCTATGGGAGGACTAATTTTCCTCCCTCCAAGGACCTCAGGGTGGCCTTACGACTTTTCTTGGCCAATGAAGTGAGAATGGGAGTGACGTGTCCCTTCTGAGCCAAAACTGTTAAGAGCCAGCCCAGAGTTTCTCATGTCTCATGTTCCTTCCGCCATGGGACTGGCAGTGTTCCACATGGAGGCTGCTCTCTCTCCGCACAGGTCCTCTTTCAGCGGGGAGGGTCAAAAAAGGTTTCGTGCAGTCAGTTGACTTCTTGAGTTTTGACAAGGGCACCAAGGCATAAATGAGGGAAAATGATTTTTTCCAACAAATGGTGCTGGGACAATTGGATAGCCACATCAAAAGAAGGAAATCGAACCCTTACCTCCCACCATATATAAAAATTCACTCAAATGGATCAAAGTGTAAATATAACAACTAAAACTATAAAACTCTTAGAAGAGAACATAAATGTTCATAACCTTGGATTAGTCAATGGCTTCTCAGACAAGACACCAAAAGCACAAGCAACAAAAGAAAAAGATAAATCGGACTTCATCAAAATTTAAAACTTGGGTGCTTCCAAGGACAACATCAAGAAGGTTAAAAGACAACCCACAGAAAAATGGGAGAAGATAATCACAAATCATATATTTGATAAGGCGCTTGTACCTAGAATATATAAAGACATTTACAATGCAATAATAAAACATAATTGACCATATTTTTAAATGGGCAAAAAATCTGTATACACATTCCTCCAAAAAGATACAAAAACAGCCAATAAGCACATGAGAAGATGCTCAACATTAGCCATCAGGAAAATGCAAATTGAACCACAACAAGATATCACTTTATACCCACCAGGGTGGCTATTATCAGAAGACAGAAAATGCCAGGTATTGACAAAGTTGTGGAGAAATGGGAACCCTCATATGCTGCTTTCAGGAACGTAATAGCACAGTTGCTGTGGAAAACAGACTGGCAACTCCTCAAATGGTTAAACACAGACTTACCACATGATCCAATAATTCCACTCAGAGCTATATAGCCAAGAGAAATGAAAACATACCTGCACAAAAACATGCAAGAATACTCGTAGCACCACGATCCACAATAGCCAAGAAGTGCAAATAACCCAATGTCCATCACTGATGAGTGGATAGATAAAATATGGTATATCCCACACAATGGAATATGATTCAGCCTTAAAAAAGAACGAAGTACTGACAACATGCTACAACATGGATGAACCTTGAAAACATTATGCTTAAGTGAAATAAGCCACACACGACATCTTGTAGGATTTCACTTATATTAAGTGTCCAGAAGAAACAAATATATAGAGACAGAAAGTAGTTTAGTGGTTTACCCATGGCTGGAGGTGGGTAATGTGGGACTGGGAGTGACAGCTAAGGGATACAGGGTGTCTTCTTGGGTCTTTGAAAATGTTCTAAAAGTGATTTTGGTGACGGATGGTTGCACAACTCTGAATATACTGTGAACCATTGAACTGTGCTTAAATTCAATGGTTAAAGTACATTAAATGGTGAGTTGTATGGTATGTGAATGATATATCAATGCTTTAAAATGGAAGAAATGGGGACACCTGGGTGGCTCAGTTGTTAAGCGTCTGCCTTCGGCTCAGGTCATGATCCCAGGGTCCTGGGATCGAGCCCCACATCGGGCTCCCTCCTCGGCGGGAAGCCTGCTTCTCCCTCTGCCTGCTGCTCCCCCTGGTCATGCTCACTCGCACTCTCTCTCTGACAAATAAATAAATAAAATCTTAAAAAAAAAATTTTTTTTAATTTAAAAATAAAATGGAAGAAACATTTCATGGAGGAGAGGGCGCTTGAGATGGTCTCAAAGGAATGTAAGGAATTAAGTGGAGAAGGAGCAAGTAAGAACTAGTACAAAGACTGGAAAAGTAAGGAGGAGACAGAGTGGGGAGTAGGACTTTTTTTTTTTTCTTTGAGAATTTAGGGTTTTGTTTAGTTTTTTTTTTAAGATTTTATTTATTTGATAGCAAGAGAGGGAACACAATCAGGGGGAGTGGGAGAGGGAGAAGCAGGCTTCCTGGTGAGCAGGGAGCCCGATGCGGGACTTGATCCCAGGACCCTGGGATCATGACCTGGGCCGAAGGTAGATGCTTAACAACTGAGCCACCCAGGCGCCCCAAGAATTTGGAGTTTTGTTTGAGGGTCTCATACCAGAACTTCCTGTCATCTCTAAGCCAAGCTAGACTTGAGGACAAGGAGACAAATCAAAGAGTGTCATACTGTCTTTGTTTCCTCTCTAACACTATGCCAAAGAATACCTGGATATTAGCTACGTTGCTTGCAGCCCTCTACTGGAAGACAGGATTTCTCAGCCTGTCCCAGGGCCCGTGCTGCTCCCAGAGAGGTTGCTGGAAACTGCATTGAGAATCTACAAGCCTCACCACGTGAGGAAGCAGGGCTAAAGTGATGGTCCATGGTGACATCCAGTCTTACCTCACGTATATATCAAGTGGCAGGTTTCTCTCTATTCTTTCACAGAAATTGGAGATACAAGTATGATTCCTAAAACTGGAGCAACTTGGGGGGCCTGGGTGGCTCAGTCGGTTAAGTGGTTACGTGTCTACCTTTGGCTGAAGTCATGATCCCAGGGTCCTGGGATCAACTCCCATGTCAGGTTCCCTGCTCAGCAGAGAGTCTGCTTCTCCCTCTCCCTCCGCCCCTCCTCTCCACTCGTGTTCTCTCTCTCTATCAAATTAAAATCAAAACAAAACAATAATAAAAAAAAAAGCTGGAGCAACTTGTAAGAGGGAATTTGCAGTGATTACATATTTCCTCCTTTGGTGCAGTTCCATAGCCAATCATCTAACAAGAGGCCCACAGACTTTGGTGTCCTTGTGCAAGTATGACACACAAAAGCCTCAGTCTGTTAATACAGCTGCTGTCCTTGTGAAGGACAACCTAACACTGGGGATAGAGGTCTTAGGTGGATGCCCTGGGAAACAGGCTCTGAGAGGGGGTCTGCCTGGAGGAGGTGTATGGAAGCATGCTCTCAAGTGCAATACCTATAAGAACATGAGGGCAGCTGCGGGGTCAGGCAGAGGGACAAGCTGAGCTGGGAAGCTGCTGCAACAGGGGCCTCAGCCATTCCTCCAGGGTAGCTCTGGAGCTGGGTGGCCTTGCAGGGTGGTCCCAAATCGAGGCGAGGCAGTCAGTCCTTCTTACCAAGGCAACAACTGGTTATTGGATGTGGGGCCTACCCTTGGCGAGGCAACTCCCTTTGGCGGGTGACAGAGCCCACAGACTCAGCTGTGAGCCATCAGCCGCCAACAGTCCCAGCAGCTGGAGGAACGTTTGATGTGTTTCTGGAGGGAAATCTGAATGGTGCTGAAGTCAAAAGGGTCTTCCGGACCTTTTTCAGCTGGTAAAACCTCAGACCCCCCATGATATATATAGAAGAAACGTCCAAACATGAGACATTTATATGTTAACACTTTTCTTGAGCACTTTTCTCCAAAGGTCTCACAGACGTCCTGCCCAATATGGTGGCCACCAGACACATGTAGTCACAGAGCCCTTGAAATACGACTGGTCCAAATTGAGGTGTGATGTAAGGATAGAATACACTTTCCAAAGACTTCGTATGGCAAAAAAGATGTGGAGTGTCTCAATAATTTTTTAATATTGATTGCATGTTGAAATAATTATTTGGAATACATTGGCCCAATTATTAATTATGGCCCAACATTATTAGCGCTAATATTAATACTAATTTCACCTGTTCCTTTTTTTTTTTTTTTTTAATGCGCTGCTAAACAATTGAAAATTAACATGTGCGGCTCCCATTAGAGGTCCACTGGGCAGCGCCATCACGCATGTTTCCTGACAGTCTGGATGCTGGTTTCTCTCTGCAGTGGGAAGAAGGCGGTTTCTCTCCTCATTGGATGGCTGGTAAGAACTCCATTCATTTCTTCCACTCACCCGTACCGTGCCTGGAGTAAACTCTCACAAAAGTTTGTTGAGGAAAATGACGAAGCAGGAACATCCCGTTGGGTTTCGCTTCCCTCTTGCAGACGCTGCTACGTAATTTTGTTTGTCGGATTCTTAGCTTCCCCGCAGATGGGGAAGAAGAAGAACGTGGCTGTGTCAGGGGTGTGTGAAAGGAGGAGGTCGTGATGTCATGCAAAGAAAGCAAGTGGGCAGAGATCCCACACTCAAAATGGCTACTATTCGAGCAGTCTTCATAGCCACAAGAGCTCTCTGAGCGCGTGTTCCAGGGCATTATCTAATTCAGTCCTCACAAAGTACGGCAAGAGGATATTTTCATTTTCCTCATCTTACAGGAGGGGGAAACCCGTCCCTCCAAACGCTGCCTGGCCCTGGGGGATTGGAGGTGCTGACCCTGTCCCTTGGCCAGTTGCATGTCTTTTATACTGAAAAACTGATTGGAACGAAATGAGTTGGGTTCCGATCTAGATCTTAGTTCAAGGACCAGGATGGAACTTTTTTTTTTTTTTTTAAAGATTTTATTTATTTATTTGAGAGAGACTGAGAGAGAGAGAGCATGAAAGGGGGGAGGGTCGGAGGGAGAAGCAGACTCCCTGCCGAGCAGGGAGCCCGATGCAGGACTCGATCCAGGGACTCCAGGATCATGACCTGAGCCGAAGGCAGTCGCTCAACCAACTGAGCCACCCAGGCGCCCAAGGATGGAACTTTTTAAACAGATGCATTTACACGGTGATTTAAATACTTACTTCGACCTGATTTGATCCCTGGCGTGGAAGATTCCATTTAGCTTTTTCTTCTGTAAGTACACTCGAGTTGTTTAACATAACCTTATTATGCATCTTTCCTAACTCAGAGTTAATTTTAAGGTTTCCTTTTTGGGAGGACCAGATGCTACAAATAATTTGTTTTTTCTAAATTCTGGAGCTATTCCAGAATATGAAGCTAATCGAAGCAGATAGCTGTGAATTCACTGGGAGGTGACCCATTTCCAATTCTGCAGGTTAGGTGGGGGCAGATTTGAGGTCATCTTTTCACTATTTTTTAATTAGGAGTACAGTCAAGGCTAGCATAAATGTAACGATGTCGATGGTTTTATTTAACTAGAACAACAAACATATGTTTTCCAGATATTTTTATTCAAGACCAAAAAAGCAGAAGATTATTTTCCAATAAAAGAATGAGAATTTTAGAAATGTTTAACTCATTTATAAATGTAAAATACATTTTGTTTTAAAAATATGTACTAAGCAAGCTGTTTTCATCAGGTTGTCATGTGAACCTTAAACTATGTGATTATTCTACACATGATTACATATGTACATATGATTATGTAGCTAACACTCTTCTCAATTTCTCCTTCCTTTTTATTCATAGGACAGAAGAAAAAGCATCCCCACTTTCCAGTTCCCAAATATTTCCACATAGTATCAACTTACTGAAAGGAAATACATATTCTTTCTATGCTTATGGCTCTGAGAAGCTTAATTATTAACTCAGAAAGTGACCGTGTTGCTTAAAGGGAAAGATGTGGCCTCTGGGCGTAATCAGACCTGGGTTCAAATCCGAACCCTAGTGCTTATCAGTTTTATCTTCAGCCCTCATTTATCTTCCAAGAAGCTGGGTTTCCTCTTCTGGCAAGTAGGGATAATGACTGCCTTGCAAGGGTTGGTGTAAGGCTCAGATTAACTAACTATGGTAGCATTTTATCCATCATAAAGCTTACATGCTTCTTCCCTGACGAATCCCAGTGATTAAGAGGAAGCGTGGTATACTGGCTCCAATTCTGAAGGACCACAGGGGAAAGAAGGTAACGCTGCCTAAGTATCTCCTGGTGTCCTGCACTTCACCTTAGTGCATCAAGTTCTCTATAATAACCCCTCCAGGTAGGTGGTAATGGTCCCATTTGCACTCTGCTCTTCTCACCGTACCTCTCAGATTTAAGCTCACATTTCCAATATGCTAAGTCCTCGGTGGGCTTGGGGATGATATTTATTCTAATGCTCAGTTTTCTTATCTGTAAAATGGCAGCAGTATTAATCCTGACATCACACAGTAGCACCTCAACCCCTTTTTAGAGTTAGATTAGCTCTTAATAAAAAAGTAAAAGCCCCAGGGGCGCCTGGGTGGCTCAGTCATTAAGCGGCTGCCTTCGGCTCAGGTCATGATCCCAGGGTCCTGGGATCGAGCCCCACATCAGGCTCCCTGCTAAGCGGGAAGCCTGCTTCTCCCTCTCCCACTGCCAGCCTCTCTGCCTACTTGTGCTCTCTCTCTCTGTATCAAATAAATAAATAAAATCTTTAAAAAAAAAAAAAAGTAAAAGCTCCAATGGTTACCTTTAGGATTGAATGGGACAATGTGCATAGTAACACCTAGCTCACAGTGGGAGCTCAGTAAATAATCATGACATCCGGATCTGAATTAAGTTATCTCCACTGGCATAGTGGAATGATTTTATTTTAAAACTTCTCAGCACACACATCTCTTAAAATCTGTGATAGTTCATAGAGATGGGACTGCAGAACGTCCAGGTCCCAGCCACCTTGATGAAATTATAACACAGTCCTGGAAGATTCAGTCCAAGGGTGAGTTACTCACATGGATATCAGAAATCTCGGGGTGCCTGGCTGGCTCATTCGGTGGCGTGTGCAACTCTTGATCTCGGGGTTGTAAGTTCGAACCCCACATTGGGTGTAGAAATTACTTAAAAAAAAAATCTTTAAAGAAAGAAATCTCCAGGATGGTGGCAGGGAATATGACAGAAAGGAAAATGGTGAGCAGGATTCCAAAGCCTGCAGGTGATGTAGGGAGGTCATTTGGAGAGAGTAATAAAAAAAAATATTCTGGCTCATGGCCTGGACCTCAAAGGGTGAGAGGTAAGGTCCAGGGGCAGTCATGGGAGCCAAGAAAGTACAGGTTCCACCCCTCGGCCTGTGGCAGGTGGTTGCTTTGGATGAGCTCCTGCTTTCTGCCCATTGCACAACTAGTCAACCTTGTGCTAGCCTGGCCATCTAGTTAAGAGCCACTCTGGAACTCAATTACTGCTTTTGTTGGCAGGGTGGGGAGCCTATCTGGGTCAGCTTGGCTTTATAGGGAACTTTCCAGGGGCACATATAAAGGGAAAGAATACCTTCTGGTTCCCAGGGAAGAAAAAAAAAAAAGACATCTCCCAGTGCTGGGATTTCTAAGGTGGCGAGAGAACTCTTCCTTGCTCTGTTTTGTCCAGGAAGTTTTCCTGTGCGTAAATCGAGCATTCACAGAGTCAGAGAACAAGGGTGCTCAAAACTGTTTTAGGTGGCAGAGCACCTGCATGTCAGCTTCCCTTGCAGAAGATGATGAAACACTGGCATTTCTATGCCTCATTATACAAATGACAACTTAGCTCAGAATACATTGATGGATTTCGCTTCTAGGTCGGGCTAGAAACATCTGCTTAATTAATTGTGCATACTGTTATAAAATAAAATCACAGCTGTAAGCTTACTGGCTCATGGGAGAAACAAGCTATTGAACTACTCAGGATCCAGTTTCCAAGTATCTCCACAACATTCATTTCCAGTATTCACTTGCCAGTAAGTTTGGATATTCTGCTAGTACTTGATAACAGTCATCAAAGAAAAGAAAAACGTCGGGAGAAAAAAAATTAACAAAATACTAGACTTTAGCTTTTTTTTTTTTTTTTTTAAGGCAAACCAAAAAGGAAATAAGATCACATGTAAGGTACTTTGGAGTCAGAAAGACCTGAGTTTATGTTTTGTTTCTTTGGTGTCTTAGGTAGGCACCATGCCCATCATGGGGCTTGAACTCACAACCCTGCGATCAAGACCTGAGATCAAGAGTCAGATGCTCCACCGACTGAGCCATCCAGGTGCCCTGAAAAGACCTGGGTTTAAATCAAAAGTATTAGCTGTGTGACAGTGGGCAAGTTACTTAATCTCTTGGAACTTGCTTGCTTCCTCTTCTTTAAGATGGAGAAAATACCTCCTTGGCAGGATTAGTCTCAAGATTAGCATTCATGTATGTGAGGTCCCTGGTGCCGTGCCAAGCCCACAGTAGGAGGCTTAATAAAGGACAAGTATTGTTAGCATTTGGGGCATCAGAATGCTTTGTCCAGCTCCCGAAACACCAGTGTTCCATCGGTAGGGAAAAACTAAGCTAGAAAAGGCCTAGAGACAATTGAATTGTGTCCCCCATGCAACAGATGAGGCAACAGAGACTCACAGATGATCCCAAAGTCACCCAGCCAGTTTGCCGTGAGCCGGGCATAGAATCCCAACTCCCAGCGGCTTCACTGCCCTGCTGTGCTGTTCTCTTCAGCAAACCCAGAGCCTTTCTCCCAACGGCCCACGTTGTCCCTGGAGGCCACCGGCTGTGGCACGTGTGCTCTTTTGGTAGACAGCCAGGAGGAGAGAGTGTGCAGTGACTCACCAGGTGAGCCCATCCCCAGTCCCTAGTTACTGCTCCTGTTAGAGAAAACACCCCTCCCGACTGCCCACATGTCTGTGTTTCTTGTTATGTTTAGTCCTCCCGCCGTGGCTTTGCTCTGTTCGGAGAATTTGTCCAGGTAGGTGTCTTGTCCCCCCATGAGGCCGCAGCTTGGGAGGCTGATGTTGTGGCCAGTTGGAGCAGGGAGGGGCCCGGGCGCTCGGGCTGGCCTGGGAGGCAGAGCGGGGAGGCTGGCTACCTGCCTCAGGGCTCCAGAGAGCAGGTTGGGGCAGAGGAGTGGAGGGAGGCGTGTCAGCACTTGTCTGCAAGTCACCAGGGAGAGAGAGACACCTGGTACAAGAGGAGGCAGAAGGAACACGAAAGAAGCCAGGTGCACCTTGGGGGCCATGCATAGTTTTTACTACCTTCAAGACCGTCTTTATTATTTCAAACATAGCTCCATGCCTTCAAAGACTGTGGTCTTCCGCCCCCACCCCCATCCTGGCCATGGGCCACTCCTGTCCTCCACCTTCCTGCTTGGAGGCTCGGGCTGGGGTGGCTGGCCCGCCAATCATGTTCTTGAACTTCTATTATGTCACCAGCAGCCAATCAGAGTGGCTGATTAGTATGCGATAACCGGTGTTACTACCTTGGGTTGACATAATCCTAGCCAAGAGCAAAGAAGCTTGACAGTTTTTGTCAGCAGGCAGAACTTTTTAAACGGCTGTTTGAAAGCCTGCATATTTTTATAGGGCCACTCATAAACCTGCTCTGTGTCTCCACCCCTTGCTGACTGTTGAGCCATCTGCACACCAGGGTAAAAAAAACTGATATGCAAAGCCTACAGCAGACACCGAGCGAGACCAAGAGAGGCATTTGCTCCTAACTTTGCTGCTCCATCCTACCTGAGGAGTGCCTCAGGGGGTGCCCTGAACACATTCTTCTTTACTTAAATTACTTTATTTTTACTTAAATTCACTGGAATCAGGCTTTCCCGTCTCAGATCAAACGGTGTTTTGCCGTTTGTCCTTGTGACCTTGTTACCTTGTGACCTTGTGACCTAGGCTTCTCCTTGCCTGGGCTGTGGGTTCCTTGGCAGGATTGTCGATAGTATAGACTCTGTCTCTCCCATCTTGCTGACACAAGGGCCTGCAGAGAACTCTAGTCCACCTGGTTTTATTTATTTATTTATTTTAAGAATGTATTTATTTGAGAGGGAGCATGAGAGAAAGAGAGCACGAGCCGGGGAGTGGGGGGGCAGAAGGAGAAGCAGACTCTCCAAGGAGCAGATAGCCTGATGTGGGACTTGATCCAGGACCCTGCGATCATGACCTGAGCCGAAGACAGACACGTAACCAACTGAGCCACCCAGGCGCCCCTCCACCTGGTTTTATAAATAAAGTTTTATTAGGACATAGCTAGGCTTACACATTTGAGTATTGTCTATGGCTGCTTTCATGCTACAGGAGTAGAGTTGAGACATTGTAACAAAGATCAGGTTTTGGCAAGACCAAAATATTTGCTATTTGGTCCTTCACAGAGTTTGCAAACCTCTTAATTCATCTACCTCGCTGCCCCCAGAGTGATCTCTCAAGCTTCAAATGCAATCATGCCATTCTTCTTCAAAACAAAAACAAGAAAACTCAAAATCAGCAGTCTGTAAACAGAGCTCCTTGGTGTGCTCTCCATCACCTGCCCACACCCCCTTCCTTCCCTCCTGTGCACCCTTCACCTCTGCCCTTGCTCAGCTCTGACATCACCAGTTACGCCTTTGTCCATGGTGTGCCTGATGCCTGGAATGCCCTCCCACTTTCTCTATCTGCCAAACCCCTTAACAACCTTTAACACCACATTCAAATATCACCTCCCCTCTGCACCTTCTTACATGCCCAGCAGAATTAATTGCTCCTTCCTCTATGCTCCCGTAGCTCTTTGGACAGATGTATGCCATTGTATTGACCAAATGGGGTTGCGTGATGTGTTTATGTGTTTGTCTGTACCACTAGACAGTGAACTACTGGAGATCAAGGACCTTGTCTCATTGCCTTTCTGCCTCTGACCGGAACGAAGATGAATCATCTGGATGTTACAAGTAAGTCAGAAACAGACCTTTATAAAAGTCCCAGGAACCTGACCGTAATGTCTTATCTGTGCCACCTCTTCTGATTGACTATCTCGTTTCTTCTCATCTCCATACTTCCTGGTAACTGAAATATCATAGGTGCTCAGAAAATGTCTCCCTGAGTGAGTGTGTAAATGGTATAAAATAACATGTGTTTTTTTTTCTATTCTAACATCAAAATGCAGTAAACATATTGTCACATTTACTTTATCGTCAAGTACATTCAGGACTTTTAAAAGAAGTCTACCTTCGGGGCACCTGGGTGGCTCAGTTGGTTAAGCAGCTGCCTTTGGCTCAGGTCATGATCCCAGGGTCCTGGGATCGAGCCCCACTTTGGGCTCTCTGCTTAGCAGGGAGCCTGCTTCTCTCTCTCCCTCTGCTCCTCCCCCTGCTCATGCTCTCTCTCTCTCAAATGAATAAATAAAATCTTAAAAAAAGAAGAAGTTGGGGCGCCTGGGTGGTTCAGTCATTATGCGTCTGCCTTTGGCTCAGGTCATGATCCCAGGATCCTGGGATCGAGCCCCACATCGGGCTCCCTGCTCAGCGGGAAGCCTGCTTCTCCCTCTCCCACTCCTCCTGCTTGTGTTCCCTCTCTCGCTGTGTCTCTCTCTGTCAAATAAATAAATAAAATCTTAAAAAAAAAAGTCTACTTCATCTAAAGATATGCAAATGACCAATAAGCACATGAAAAGATGGTCAACATCATTAGCCATTAGGGCAATACAAATCAAAACTACAATGAGATCCCACTTCACACCCACCAGAATGGCTGTAATCGAAAAGACAGACAGTAACAAGTGTCTGTGAGGATGGGGAGTAATTGGAACCTCCTATGTTGCTGATGAGACTATGACACAGTGCAGATGCTGTAGAAAACAATTTGACAGGTCCATAGTTACCAAGTGACCCAGTAATTCCATTCCCAAGTATATCCTCAAGAGGAATGAAATCATGCAACCACACAAAAACATGTACAGTAATATTCATAGCAGCATTATTATTAATAGCAAAAGTGTGGGGCACCTGGGTGGCTCAGTCAGTTAGGCATCTGAATTCAGTTCAGGTCATGATCCCAGGGTCCTGGGATTGAGCCCTGCATTGGGCTCCGTGCTAAGCGGGGAGTCTGCTTGTCCTTCTCCCTCTGCCCCTCACCTCTGCTCATGCTCTCTCTCTCTCTCACTCTGTTCTCTCTCTCTCTCAAAGAAATAAATAAAATCTTTTAAAAAATAATAGCAAAAATGTACAATGAAAATGTCCATTGACTGATAAATGGATAAATAAAATGTGGTATATTGCATACAATGAAATATTATTCAACCTTAAGAAGGAATGAAATTCTGACACATGCTACAAGATGTATGAACCTTGAAGACATGCTCAGTGAGAGAGAAGCCAGTCACAAAATGCCATGTACTATAAAATCATGTATATATAGAACGTTCAGAATAGACAAATCCATAGAGACAGAAAATAGATTAGTGGTAGCCTGGGTTTAGTGGGGATGAGGGTGGGGGAGGAGATGAGCAGGAACTGCTAAAAGGTAGGGAGTTGCTCTTTGGGCTGATGAAAATCTTATGGAATTAGACATTGGTGATGGTTGTATAACTCTGAATGTACTAAATCATTGAACAGTACACTTTAAGTGGGTTAATTTTATGGTAGTGGATTATATGTTGTTGTTATTGTTGAAGTACTCTGCAACAAGTAGAGCTAAAATTGGTGAATTCTATCAATTTAACTTCCTGGTTGGGAAATTGTACTACAGTTGTGCAAGATGTTACCACTGAGAGAAACTGAGTAAAAAGGTGCATGGGATCTCTCTCTATTCTTTATTACAATTGCATGTGAATCTACAATGATCTAAAAATAAAAAAAATTTAATTTAAAAACATACTCTACCTCTTTCCTATTTCTCTCCTCCCCAAATAAGAATTTCCCAGAGCATCATGTCAATGTTCCTTAAATGATATTGCTATTTGATGGCATCTTTTACTTGTTAGAAACCACAGACCTAGCTCATAGACAGATGAATTTTTCAAAAGCTGACCAAAGTGTTGGATGTAACAAAAATATATTTATCGTCTCCAAAAAGTGAAAAAACCTAAAATCATTAATGAATGTTTAAAGATTTTTATTTATTTATATATTTGAGAGAGAAAGTGAGCGAGCAAGTGAGAGAACACGAGCAGGGGGCTGGGGGTGATGGGGAGAGGCAGAGGGATAAGCAGACTCCAGGGTCATGACCTGAGCCGAAGGCAGAGGCTTAACCAACTGAGCCACCCAGGTGCCCCATTAATGAATATTTAAATGGCTACCCAATATGATCTTATATCAAATAGTGAGCTGCAACTCAGCTCATTTATTTCTGTGTGTGTGTGTGTGTGTATTATATGCATAATATTTAATGTGGGATATTAGGAGGATTCAAACCAGAGGTGACTTGGTTTTGAATCTTGTCTTTTACCTCTTATAAATAAGTTTTTAACTTCTTTGAATCTCAATTTCATTTTCCATAAAAAGAAAATTATTGTATCTACTTCATAGACTTGTTGTGAAGGTTAAAATTACAGGGATAACTAATGCATGTAAAAGGCTCAGTAGAGTATCTGCCCCATTATAAGGGCTCAAAAAATGGTAATTATTATGATGATGATAATACCAGGCGTGGCAATTTATGCACTGTTATCTCTGATGTGTATTTGTAGGTGACTGGAGCTGGTGTTAAGAGCCCTAAGCCCAGTAGGTCTTGGGCCCACTTGATAATGGGCTTGTACTTCACCAGAGCCAGAGAAAAGGCTTCTATTGTCACTCTGCTACAGGATCAATAGAAAGAGGAGAACAAAGGCCTGGTTCCATTGGAGGCTCAAGCTAATATTATTTTAAATGAAAGCTACAAAAACAGTGTGGGAAAAAATACAGGAGGGGTGAGGCCAGCTAAGGTTTGCATCCTGAGGTCAGTTAGTGGTTGATTGAGTCATGAAGCATTTCATACAAATCATGATCTGACAATCTGTCTTTTCCCTGCAAAAACTCAGGATACCTATTCTAAAAAAGCTTTTTTTTTTTTTTAAAGGAATGTGTGTGATTTGTGGTGTCTTATATGTGAAAATGTTTGTATATGACTTAAATTACATTAGTTATACATTTACTCTTTATTGAAAAGAGACATCGGCACCTGCCTGGCAAACCTGAGCTTTAAGATTGTGTACGATCATGTAACCTTTGGGATAACTGTTTGGGACATCTCTGCAAACATGCGTCAGGGCCTGGCACTGATGTACCTATAAAATGTAACAAACAACAACAACAAAACCCACAGGGGGGAAGAAAAACAATGAGAGAGATGTATAATAAATAAAAATCAGTGATTCTGTGAATGTTTTATCTTATCATTCAGAGATAATATTAACACAAAAATGATAATGAAGGTCATCTTCATGTTTCTGGCACTTGTAAAAGATATTTTTAGAAAAACAGTATAACAGTAGAAATATCACTAATATACTAGGCAATACAAAGATTAGAAACGAAAAGATCTAGGGTTCTGATACTTACCTATTGTGTAACTGCAGCCAAGTCACTTAAACCCTCTGTGCTTCACTTTCCTCATCTGTAAGAAATGAATACTAATATGTACCTCATGGGTTTGGAATTTTATTCAAATATAAGGTAACATTATAGGAAATTATAGAGAATATCCGCAGTTGTGGGCTGTTTACAGATAACCCAGGATCACAGAATTGTATTATTATTATTTTGTATTATATTGTTTCACATTTTAGGCCAAAATTAGAACAGGGAGTAAAAATTCCAGAACAATAGAAGGATACCACTAGATGAAACTAATTTACCAATTTTTCCATGTTTTGTCTTTCAAGAGCTTTAAGATCTTCGATTCATGAAAGAGAAATTTGTGTCCACATTGGGAGGCAAATGTTCATCAAATAATAGTGAGTGCCTGAAGTGCTAGGTAAGGAGGGGTCATGCAGCAAGGCCTGGGCTATAAGAGAGAGTTCTCTGATTGTGATGTTCAGCATGGGAACAGGAAGGGTAGGATAGATAAGAATTAGGTGTTCATTGGCCTTACATTTCCAAAAAGAGGGATACTGCATTAGCACGGGGGAGGGGGGGAAGCAAAGGAAGATTATGATATATCTAGAAGACAGCAATGGGAGTCTGAGATGAAATCATTTGACAAACATTAACTAAGCACCTGTTTTGTGCCAGACTTTGTACAAGGCACTGGGGATGGAGGGATGAATGGGTCTGTATTCCTCAGTATTCTAGACAAGAGGCCTTGGAGTGTGTAGACTGAGGTTCAAATCCTGGATGTGCCACTTGACCTATAACTTTGGGTAAGTGGTGGAGTCAGCCATGGAAACACAATATCACATAACAGGTGGGCTAAGAGAGGTACGTACAGAAGATCTGGGAGGCTTCTAGTCAAGATGATGTCATAAGGTCATACTTTGAGGCTTTCCTCTGCTTCAAATATATGAAATGATAGATAAAGTATAAAAGAGAAAGGAAAAAATGGCCACACTAAAAAATACAATAAGGGGTGCCTGGGTGGCTCAGTCGTTAAGCGTCTGCCTTCGGCTCAGGTCATGATCCCAGGGTCCTGGGATCGAGCCCCACATCGGCCTCCCTGCTCAGCGGGAAGCCTGCTTCTCCCTCTCCCACTCCCCCTGCTTGTGTTCCCTCTCTCGCTGTGTCTCTCTCTGTCAAATAAATAAATAAAATCTTTTAAAAACAAATAAAATAAAAAATACAATAAATATCTCTGTGGAGCAAAAATGGAAGAAATCTAGTGTAATAAATGGGCCTTCAGGGGGCTCTGGATGGGGAAGCAGGAAGAGGTGACCAGGGATCAGGCTTTTGTGTAGCAACAGAAATGACAAGGGCACCAAGCAAGGTGAAAGGCCAGACTCCAGCAACTGGAAACTGCTGGACAGGAAAGGAGCCTGGGGTGGTCAAGAGGAAAAACACACTCTTAAAATGAATGTGCAAACCAAAATTCCCAAAGTCTATAAAGAAAATCAATGTGGGAGTGCCTGGCTGACACAGTCAGTAGAGCATGCAACTCTTGATCTCAGGGTTGTAAGTTCAAGCCCCACATTGGGTGTAGAGATTACTTAAAAAAATATATTAAGAAAAAAAAAACGCTAAAACACAGAGCCAAACAAAATCAACAATCAAGAGATGAATTCATTCCAGGTAAAATGAAAATAAGCAACCTGAAGATAACTTTAAGATGATTATGTTTACAGTCCTCTAAGGGATAGAAGGAGAAACAGTATCTATTTTTTTGTAAAAGGACAAAATATTAAAAAATAAAAATGGGAAGAAATGAAAAAGTGGATATGAAAGAGAAGAAAATGCTGAAAATGAAAAATAAAACTATTTACAATGAAGTATTAATAAAGAATAGAAAAGGAAGCTCCTAATTCAGTGGGTAGTAGAGCTCAGGAGGAAAAGTTGAGTTGCTTTAAGGCTTATAGGTGCCACCAGAGAGGGAACTCCTTAGTGTGTTTTGGAATGTTATACTTACTGTTGGGTTGTCAGAAAAGGCAGTAGGCTGGCCTCCTAGCTTTGGGGAGAAAAGTAGGCAATTGCTTACATTATAGAGAAGAAAACAAGCTTTGTTTGACAATGAAGTTACTGCCTTAAATTGAAAAGCTTCCTGAGAGGACAGCAACTTGCCCACCCAGAAATACTATAATAGCAAGTTCTGGAAATATTATCATTGGGTCCATCATCTTTGTGTGGGTTTTCTGCTGAGGAATGTTTTCTTTTTTTCTGATTTATAGAATTTGGTTTTTGCCTAGATGCTTCAACCTGGAAGGTGGAGGAGCTGGGGTGGGGTGAAGGAAGGAGTTTTTATTGAGCCACACACTGTACTTGTTTTCCACACATGTTCTCATTGATCCACACACCAACTCTGGAAGTCAGCTCTTTTTATCCCCATGTTGCAATGAGGAAACGGAGACTCCAAAAGTTTAATGTAGGTCAATCAAATTTTCCGGGAGGTAGTGGAGGGGGGGCGGGATCTGAAGCCATGTCTTCCTGTCCCAGTGCACACGAGGCTCCATCTCACCACCCTGAGATCATGACCTGAGCCAAAATCAAGAGCTCAACGCTTAACCAACTGAGCCACCCAGGAGCCCCTGGAACCCTTCACATCTTAACTTGACTGACAGAGTCCTGCATGATCTGGCCCCACCGAGCTGTCCTGCCTCTGTATATTGCTCTCCTTCTTGCTCTCTGTCCTGCTGGCAACTTGGACTTTGCTGTCTCCTGCCTTCATAATGCTTTTCTTTCCTTCTTGTACAGGCCTCACTCCTACTCAACCCCCAGGCCTCAGTTAGATATCAACTTTTCAGAGAAGCATCCTCCGTCCTCCTAAGACTGAGTTGAGACCTTTGTTGTATGCTCCCATGGCTCTCTGTACACCGCCCTTAATAAACTCTAGTAAACTCTAGTTGCTTCTTAAATATCCCCCTTCCCAACTACACTCAGTCCCTCACCGACTGGGACTGTACCATTCTTGTCCACTAACATATCCTGAGCACCTACTCAGGGAACAGACATATAAGACACTCTCAGTGAGTACATGTTCTCTGCATGAATGATTTTCACACTATACTTAAGTGCTGACATGCCCAGTGATTGAAGGGAAGTGACACAGAATTGCTTCTAAATCGCAGAATCAGAGCAAAGATTAAACAACCCTGTGATTTACTTCGGAGTGACTTTTAGATGGAGAGCTCCTTATGTTCTGAAGAATAAGTTAAAAAGCATTGTCATTTTGCTGCCTGGAGCGGGCAGTTAATCAAACCCCAGTGGAGCCCGATTCCCAGGCGGGGAATAAACAAGGTGACATCATGGTGACACATTCCCAAGGGATCGTGCAAGTTGTCAGCTCTGTTTGCTGGTTGGAAGAGGCTGTCTTTGCTGTCTTGGGCTGCTAATCATCTTTGTAAGGCTTATGATTCTGAAGGTCTCCAGAGATGGGTGACAAACTTCAGTCTTCCAGCTCCTTCCCCCTCCATGTGACTCTCAGGATCTAGCCTGGCTCTCTGGGGTGGTGCCCTCCGCTGCACACGCAGAGCTCCAGGAGACCAGTACCTCTGCTTACTGGTTTCCGAATGCTGTGTACACTCAGAATGTCCCCTCACCTGCACTGCGGTGTAACCACTCACATCCTTCTAACAAACCTTCAGTGTTTGTAAAACTCTCCCACTTTCTCTCTGTTGTTTGATCATGGACCTTTTTTTTTTTTTTTTAAGATTTTATTTATTTATTTGACAGAGAGAGACACAGTGAGAGAGGGAACACTAGCAGGGGGAGTGGGAGAGGGAGAAGCAGGCTTCCCACAGAGCAGGGAGTCCTGGATGTGGGACTCGATCCCAGGACCCTGAGATCATGACCTGAGCTGAAGGCAGACACTTAACAACTGAACCACCCAGGCGCCCTTGATCATGGATCTTATGCTCATTGAGGAAAGAAGATAGATTGAAATTGCAGTGTTTTATGACATGTTATATATACACACAGACTCAGCTTGGTGAACTGGGCAAGTATTTTAACCTCTTGGTGCTTCACTTCTCTGTGGAGTAGAATAGTAATAGTAACTACTTGGTAGGAGGTTTGCCAAGGTTAATTAAGCTAATACATGTACAGAGCTATCCTAGTTCCTGGCACATTGGTAATCAGTAAATATTTAGCTGTTTCTATTACTATTATTATTATTATATTTCATGAGAGGAAATGTGGTCTATTTGAAAGAACAGGGGCTCTGAAATCAGAAGACTGGGTTTCTATCTTGGATCATCTTGGATCTATCAAGCTGTGTGACTTCAGGGAGCCTCAAGTTGGTCATTTATAGGATAGTGGTTAATACTACCAGCCCCCTAAGAACCATTGTGAATATTAACCAAAGGACTATCTGGAAAACATCTAGTGAAGGCCAGGCATGGGGAGGACACCCAGTAAAGGATAGCTCCTGCTTATTACTCCGCATAGAAAATGCATCACTTCCAATACATAATGAATGAGAATTGCATTCAAGCTAACCAGTAAAGAGAAGTCAAGGAAGAAGGGAAAGATAATGCTCTCAGACACTGTTGGTAGCATCCTGCAAATGACTCCGGAATTAGAACTGTTTACTGAGTATCTCAAGGGCAAGAAAGAGAGCTAACATCTATTGAGTACCTACTATGTGCCAGGCACTTTATATAAGTCCATTTGAGCCCCTAAAGATGTGCAAGGAAGGGATTATCGCTCTATTTTACTGATAATAAGATAGATACAATGATTGCTAAGTTCTCAGTGAGTAAACAGTAAAGCTGGAGTTCTAAGCCAGGACTGTGTGATGCCCAAACACCGCTTTTCTGCCCATTATAAAATACTCAAACAGCTGATGTCTGTTGTAAGGACAAATAGACAGTAGTGAGGAGCTGGGCAGGGGAGTGTGTTGGGGTGAAATCATTGCAGGTAATGAGACCAATGTGGTGTATTATAGAAGCATGAGCAAGCAGATGCTCTACAGGACTGGAGAAGTCCATCTGGGGAAGGTGAGAGTTGAGGCAGGAGAGGTGTAAGAGAGGACAGCAGGTGGTGAGGGTCTTTTGCAGCCCTGGGACCCCTTCACAGTGACAGGAGAGGTTCATCATCAAGCAGCCTTAGCATTGGCCATTGAGTATACATTGGTCCTGGTCTTCAAGTTCAAGCTGAACATTCCTACCTGACCACTTGCAGAGTGCTCAGAGTGCTCACAGCTGGTTCTCCTCATCTCAGTTCCTTTTCTCAGCTCCTGCACAGGAATGTGTCCTCTGCCATGGGTGCTTGGACACCCACGCCATCTCCTCACGGTCTTGCAGTCCCTTAGCCCTTTCCCATTCCCTCCCCAGGATCCCGCTCTTCCTAGTTTCAGCCTGGATCCTCAGGGCAGGGCTGTGAGTGGCCTGG